CTAATAAAAGATTACGTTAATTAAAACGCTAAGAAAAGGTAAGGTATATATAATTAAGCTTATAATCGTAATTTTAACGCTTAATTAAGTATTTAAATAAGAAAAAGAGAGCTTATAATAGCCTTAATAATAGGCTTAATTAAGAGGTATATTAAAATAAGTTACTTATTATAGGTATAAATTACGTACGTATAATTAAATAAGAGTAAACCCTTAACTATAAGTAAATAACCCTAATAATAAGCGCACTTATAAAAAGAGCGCATATAATTCTCTCTTTTATAGCTAGACATGGACTTGTATATACACATTATCGTTATAATTAGTGCCCTCTAAAGTGTGACAGAAACACTCTCAATGTTCACGCCAAGGCAAAATGCATCCTTGAAGTCTCCCCTGTCCCCATCAATGCTTCCCCACACCGGCGAGATAAGACATCCCCCGCCCACGAGGCTAATCTCGACTTCATTTGCAACAAATGGACCAAGTCGGCCACGGCATCTGCGCCATGCCCAACATCTACAATGGCGCATTCTAGCTCGAGGCATGAGCCGCGCGTGGCGTCTGGTGCACATACACTATAACTTGTTCAACGGCGCGCAGCCCATTCCCCTCGTTTCCGCTCCTCCACACCACGAGTACGCATCATGAAGCTCACGCTCCCCCCCAAGCCGAGCTTCCTCTCGGGCGTGCCCTCCAACGCCATCGCCGTCGTGGCCCTCCTCGCGGCCGTTAACCTCGTCGTCTGGGCCAGCATCGCCGTCGTGCTGCACTACCACCCGGCGCTGATATCCGCCGCCGCGCTCTCCTACACGCTCGGCCTCCGCCACGCCCTCGACGCAGACCACATCTCGGCCATTGACCTCATGACGCGCCGCCTCGTGAGCCTGGGCCAGCGTCCCGCCACCGTCGGCACCTTCTTCAGCCTGGGCCACTCGACCATCGTGATTGTGACGTGCGTCGTCGTCGCCGCCACCTCGGGCGCCCTGCGCGACCGCTTCGACGGCTTCACCCGCGTCGGCAACATTGTCGGCACCGCCGTCAGCGCGACCGTCCTCATCGTGCTGTGCGCCGCCAACGCCTGGATCCTGTACAGCCTCGTCAGCGCCCTCCGGCGGGAGCTGCGCCGCCGACGCGCCGCCGACAACCACCGCCTCGACGAGCCCGCCGTCCAGCCCGACCACTTCCACGTCCACGGGGGAGGCGTGCTGGTCCGCGTCTTCAAGTTCCTCTTCAAGGCCGTCGACCGCCCGTGGAAAATGTACCCCCTGGGCGTGGTCTTTGGCCTGGGTTTCGACACGAGTTCCGAAGTGGCCATTCTGGGAATTGCCTCGCTTCAGGCCCTCAAGGGGACCAGCATCTGGCTTATTCTCATTTTCCCCATTCTCTTTACATGTAGGTATTTCCTTTCTTTTTTCTTTTCGGCGTGGGCTTTTGTTCGAACATCACTCCCAAGATATGGTTAAAAAAAAACTAACCCCAACAGCCGGCATGTGCCTAATCGACACGACCGACGGCGCCGCCATGGTCACCCTCTACAGCTCCAAGGCCTTCTCGAGAGACCTCGTCGCACTGCTGTACTACCAGATCGTGCTAAGTGGCATCACCGTCCTGGTATCGGCCTTCATCGGCATCGTTCAGCTCCTGTCGCTCATTCAAAACGTTGCCGAGCCAGAGGGCAGCTTTTGGGACAGCGTGGGTGCCATCGGAGATCACTTTGACATCATCGGCGGCAGCATATGCGGAGTCTTTCTGCTTGTTGGCATTACATCCATCCTTTTGTACGGCCCGTGGAGAAGACGCATCGACCGCCAGACCCAGGGACTCACCGTTGCTGAAGATGAAAGCGCCCGCAGTTCCGAAGAGCCTGCATCGCCCTTTGGCCAACCTGAAGTCCTTCAGCCTGCTACGGCAAAATAATGCATTGAAACAGGGCTACACGGAGGGGGGTAAAGGAGGAAAAAAAAAAACAGATATAATAGGGCTTACCAAATAAAACAACGCTGAAATCTACACTACGCTCACCGACAAATAAAACCAATCAAGACTATGACTTAGTCTGCCATTGAATCACCTCCTTGCTCCTGCTTTTTACCGTGCTGAAACAGCTTGCAAAATGCCTTCTTGTTACACAAGCCACACTTTCTCTGCAGGATCCCCCAACTAGGTAGTCTCTCGAATGGCGGCTGTATTTGCAACTTTTTGTAATCCTCCCTCATGGCTGCGGTTTGTCTGCTCTCGTTCACATTGAGACCCTGCTCACAGTGTGGACAGAGCCAAGTGCCCGGGACTACTCCCTCCTGTGATTTCCACGGTCGCGTCCACACCGGGTCAGACTCTAGATTAGTGCCCGCAATATGGTCGCTCTCGACGCTGTACAAGGAGCCATCGCTTGAGAGATCGCTTGACATAGACAACAGTTCGACATCGCACCCACTCAAGTGTCGAGCCATTCTAGCGTTGAGTGCAGAATTGTCTGACATGAACGAATCAATAGAATCCTGTCGTTGGCGCTGTGCAAAGTCGTCACTTGTTTGCACCGCCCAAGTCAGTTCAGACGAAGATCCTGCCTTGAAATCCTGATGTCCATGTCTGGACGGCTTTTCGTCTTTGGATTGCCATTTCCCAAGCGGCAACGGCTCAGCCTCAGTGTCAATTACAGCAAGTGGCAACGTGGGCCCAAGAGGCGGGCCGTGATGGTCACTTAGTTTGGCGTCAAATGAAGATCGCTGTCCTGCCGGTTTTGATGTCAGTTCGTCCAGAGGCGTAGGATCTGGTGAGAGAGGCGACCAGCTTCTCCAATCACTCGTCACTGTTTCAGTGGGTGTGAGGCTATCCAGCACTTTCCTGGCGGAGAATTCGAGCTGACAAAATTCCTCATCCACTTCATCAAGGTCTTCAGGCAGCACTCTCACCTCAGCGCACTGAGGGTGGGACATTTCTATGTGGCAATCAAGATCAATCTGGCGGCTGAATGACACATTGGGACAAATCTTGCAGCCCAGCTGCGGTCTTTTTACCGGGGGAGGTGACTGAGGTCCATCTTTGCAAGACGTTTCATCGCAGTCATCGCCATCTTCGTCGATAGAGGCTAGTCGGGCCCCTTGCTGCGGCAGCGACTGGCCAGACGATCTATAGGCTGCTCGACGCCGTTTTGCCTGGTCGCTTTTCAGCAGTTGGTGTGGAGGCACAGCGATATCGTCGGCGACTGGCTTTGGCCTGGGATGTATGAATTTGTGTGGAAATCTGGGCGATGCTGGCGACAGGGCTCCAGATGCTCGCGGCTCGTAGTCCCCAAGTCCATGTGTTAAAGGACTCGAGGAGGTGGTGTCGGTGACAAGGCCACCTTGGGGTTGGGAGTCATCTGAATAGCTGCTACCTCCGGAACTCGAGTTTTGACGGCGCCTCGAGTTTTGACGGCGCCTCGAGCCGAATCTGAAGATGAACGGCCCGCGTTTACGCTCCTAGAGAGAGTTGAGTGGCATCTTGGAGACGGCACCAAAGGAAACGCGCGTCAAGCACGTAGAAGGCGATTTTGAGTATGCTGTGAAACGAAAGTATGTTGTCGAACGACAGATGGAAATGATGATTTATCATGAGACGGGCAGCATGTCTGGATGATGATATATAGAGCGTGTTGGCGGAGCGCGGGAGAAGACCTGCCGGTTCCAAGGATGCATCATTAGACGCAACGACAACATGTCCCGTCTCTCTCCTACCAATTGGCCGGTTAGCTCCCCAGTCCGCGTGAAGAGGCAAGCGTTTGCGTTGCTCGGCGTTGAGGGCTCTTGCGTTTTGGATGCATGTGTGAATAGCTTGCGTGGCTGGCGCCGGCTGCCGTCTTGACGAGGTGCAAGTTGATCTCTCTGGCTTCGCGTCCCCCACACCGCATGTCCATGCCGGTATTGACGCAGACCAAATTTCCCATTCTGCACCGAAGAGCGATGACACGACAATGCATGCGAGGCCGGCGACGGCGCGAAAGTCACCGCGTTTGTTGCGACGCTAGTCCTCAGAATGGCTAATCATGGCTTAACATGGTGCCATTGTAGCCGGTCCCTGCAACTCAAAATGTCGCGATTATCGGAGCGCCATTCGTTATCGGTCTTATCGGAGCTCAGCCCAGGTGCCAGCTCCAGATGGCCAGCTGCATGCGTCAACTGGTCTTCATCCCAGGGCCGTCGTTGAGCTCGTCCTTGCATCATCCGTGCAGTCTCAGCCAACGCCGTCTGTTCGTCTCATCCTTTCCATCGCAGCCACGCAGGGGCTCATCACCATGTAGCGCCATCTGCGTTTGCTTCATCTCACCCACACCCTGTTCAACACACCGCATCCTCCCACCTGAACTCCAACAACCGTTCTGTTGCCGTTTCCCCAATATGGCTGCCTCGCCGGCGGCGTCGTCTCGCCGCAGCGCGGCATCATCATCAGCATCGCTCAAGCACTCTGATGACCATCAACCCAAGTCCCCGACCATTTCCGCCGACACCCTCGTAAATCATTTACTCGTTGCCAAGCGTTCCTTGTCCTCCATGAATCATGTGTTGCGTGCCAACGAGCTTGCGACCTCGGCGCGACACTCTCACGAGGAGATGCTGCTGCTGGCGGCGCAAACCGCTTTCGTCCGAAACTATCTTCGCGACCAAAATGCCATCCTGGTGCGTATCAGGAGAAGCCTTCAGGCTACCTATGAATGGGGCAAACGAGACTTTAAGAAGCTCATCAAGGCTATGGATGAGGTTGACGGTGCCTTGACGGGTACCATGGACATGCTTCGAGACACCCATGTGCAGACCCTCCTACAACCAAACGATGGAGAACGGAAAAATTTGTTAGATTTTGTCGATGAATCTAGCGTCCATGGCATGCGAGAGGTCATGAAGAAGAGCATACAGGATTTACAGGTATGTCGGCTTGGCCAGGTCTTCATCCGCATCCGTTTCGACATTCTTTCTGCCGTCCAACCCTAACACATCACTAGAATATTCAGCAGTCATTCGATGGAGATTTGCTCCGCCTCGAAACCGATATCCGGAATCTAGGACAGCGCATAAACGAATCCTACCCACAGAAACCCGGCGACGATGTACATCTTACTCCCATGGTACTGTTGCAGAGTCTCGATGATCACTCATCAACCATGGCACAACTGTTGGCGTCGCTAACCAAGCACTTTGACATGTGCGTCACCGCGATTCGCACAACCGAAGGTGCAGCGGCCCTCGCACGCAGGAAGGCTGCCGAGGTTACCCAGTCACAAAGCAGCGACGGAGTGTCGATATCTGGCGTCATTGCCGAGCAAGAGTCGCACATGTCTGACCTCGAACCCAAGACGGCGGAAGATAGAGCTGAAATGCTCAAGGTGGTTGTACAAGACGCAGACGAGGTTGAAGACGTTGTACGAGAGATTCAAGAGCGCCTCGCGGCCATGGAGCAAGAATACACTTCATTACAAGAGCATGTAGACCATTCAAAGGAGTCTTATTTTGGTATAATTTCAGCGTTTGCATTGATTGGACAGATTGGCGACCGCATCGACGACTACGTCGCCGCAGAGGAAGATTTCAGATTGCGGTGGGAGCTGGAGAAGGAAGCCGTTTTTGGAAAGGTCAGAGAGATGAACGAAATGAGAGATTTCTACGAGGGGTATGCAAGTGCCTACGGCAGTCTTGTTCTAGAAGTCGAAAGACGGCGGGCCGTCGACGAGCGAGTCCAGGGCATCTGGCGCAAGGCCCAGGATTCGGTGGACAAGATACTCGAGGCCGACCGGGTGTCTAGAGAAGCCTTTCGACAGGATGTTGGCGAGTATCTGCCCGCCGACTTGTGGGCAGGCATGCAGGGTCCTGCCCAGAAGTGGACAGTTGTTCGTATCAATGATGATGATTCGGTTGCCGCCAGCATGGTAGGCAGACCTGATTCGGGACAAGGATCGAGGATGGCGAGCACTCCTCGACCGAGCGCGGACTAGAATTTCTGAGCTGGCATATACCACTTGATTGCATGTGAAGTATACTTGACCATTGGTAGTAATCAACTTGGTTCGCATAACGTGTTGGCAAACGAGCCATTTGACGGTGCGGTCATGACAGCATGCCGTGTCTACGCGTTTCGACTCGCCGTCAAGCTCTACTTTCCTATTTTGACTTAGCTTCACTTACACGACATGTCAAGTCGGATGCCACACTGGGTACGCCAACCACCTGGCTGCGGGGGTTGGCCAATGCAGGCTGACGGGAAGATGTGGAAGCTGACAATTGCTTGCAGTTAAATGGGTTGAGCCTCGCAGGTCGCAGACTGTCGCAGACACCTGGACTTTCACGGTCCGCATCGGAACCAACACCAGACCAGCTACATCACCACTCGTCGAGCCAGCATGCGACTTCGTGACGACCTCATCTTCGGCTTATCTGCCCTCGCCGCTGCAGGCACTGCTACACTCGAGTTCGACTGGGATTCAATCAGCCCGTCTGCAGACCTCCAGTACCATGACTGCTACGCCGCCTTCAAATGCGCCCGCCTCAAGCTCCCTCTCGACTGGAAAAACAGTACCGACCCACGAACCGCCGCTATTGCCATTATCAAGCTCCCTGCCAAAGTGCCCGATGATGACCCTGCCTTTGGCGGGCCCATCTTCACCAATCCTGGCGGGCCAGGCGGTTCAGGTGTAAGCTTTGTCGTCAGCAGAGGCCATTATCTACGGGATTACGTCGACAGCCCTGGCAAGAAGCATTATGACATAGTTTCCTTTGATCCTCGTGGGATTGGAAATAGTAGACCCCTGGCTAATTGTTTCCCCGGCGCTGCTCTTGCCAGGGATGCGTGGATGCTTGAGACGAGAGGGAACGGGGGTTTGGATAAAAGCCTAGCAGCAGTCTCCTACGGATTGGCCCTGTATGATGGGTATGGAAGGAAATGCGAGAAGGCCGACGACGAGGGTCTGAAAGGGGGCGAGATTTTCCAGTATCTGGGGACGCCGTCCGTCGCCCGAGACATGGTTGCCATGGTGGACAGCATTGACAGGCTGAGGAGGACAGAAGCTGCTCGTGATGGACCGACGGAACTGAAGAAGAGAAACGAAGGGAATGTTCCGAGATTGCAGTACATGGGGTTTTCGTACGGCACCATTCTCGGAAACTACTTTGCTTCGCTGTTCCCGGGGCGCATTGGCAGAATTGTGCTCGATGGAGTGTGCAACGCCGACGATTATGCCACCGGCGCCGTGAGTTTCTCCCCCTTCCCCTTACCCCAGGCCCTTCCATTTTGATAGGAACTAACCGGACCTGCTGTTCAGGGCTGGTTGACAAACACTGTTGATTCCGACACCATCATAGACAAATTCTTTGACGGGTGTTTCCACGCCGGTCCCCAGGTCTGCCGTCTGGCCCGTCCGCAAGACAGATCCGGCTCAGACCTGCGCATGCGATTCTGGCCATGGCTCAAACAGCTCGACGAGGCACCCGTGGCAGGCGTCGGCCCCCTGGGCAGCTCCATCATCCTGACGGGCGCGGACATCCGCCTGGTCCTCGCCATGGCGGCCTATACGCCCCTCCAATCCTTTATGCAGGTCGCCGAGCTCCTCGACAACGCCATGGTCCACGGAACATACGACCCCATTTTGGCCAGGATCGAATCCGGGCTCGGTGCCCCCCTCCAAGACGCGTGTCCCCTCGTCAACCAGACCGCCAGTCCGAACACAGGCTCCGATCCTCAGACGGCGGTCCTTTGCGGCGACGGCGAGGACGTCCGCGGCAAGAAGCCGTCCTGGTGGGCGAGCTACGTCGAGAAGCAATTCGCCCAGTCGGCCATATTCGGCGGCCTGTGGTCCACGGTCCGCTTCCCCTGCTCCGGATGGCGCTTCAAGCCCAACTGGTCCTTCCAGGGGCCCTTTACCTCTCCGGAACCTCCCCGGGACGGCGAGCAGCCGCAACGGGGCCAGCCCGCCGCGCCGCTCATGTTCCTGACCAACAGGCTGGATCCCGTCACGCCGCTGGCGGCTGCGCGGGCCATGGCCAAGAAGCACCCCGGCGCGAAGGTGGTTGTGCAGGAAGCCATGGGGCACTGTGCCGCCATGTCGGCGTACAGCGAGTGCACGAGGGGGATCGTCGCCGGGTACTTTGACACGGGGAAGCTGCCGGACGGGGAGGTGGTTTGCGAGGCCGAGTGTGGCCCCTGGGATGACGGCTGTTCGAGGACGCTGTTGAAGTCGGATGGTGAGGGCGCGGGCGAGGCCTGGTTTGCAAGGAGGTTCCCTCTGGGTGTTTAGTTTGGGGTCGTGAGTGGGTTTTGGTAAAGTGTTTTCGTAGGGTTATTTATTACCAAGGCTTCAAATCAATGTGTGCGGGAACCAGCAGGAACCAGCAGGAACAGAATGAATACTCTCCCGACTCGTGCAACGCAAGTTTGGCTTCATTTGTAACGTTCTTTTCATATTAAAATGCCTTTTTTTATCCAAGTTTATTTTCTAGCCAAGTTTTTTTTGGAAGAATTAGCGCTGCCATGGCTAGAAATTACAAAGTTTACTGATTTTATTGACAGAGGCAGTTTTACCAGACATGTTACGGCACACTATTTGATAAGAATCATGTGACGGTTAGGGTATGTAATAAGCAAGAAGAAATGAGGAGACTGGATGAAAAGCCAGGCAGGCGCACTCATGGTTGGGGAAAGTGTAAAGATTTACGTGTAAATAGGCGTATGAATCAAGTACCTAAATTTGAGCTGGGCTGGAGGAATTGCACCACATGTGCAGCTTTTTCGCACCCGAAGAGATATTCCGTACCGTACAGTCATGGTTGCAACAATGAAAGTGTTTCCTCGTGTTTTGTCACTATCGACGCTTTTGAGGACGGTTTACCTGAGAGTGCATCTTGGGAGCTTTGAGAACCTTGAGGGCATTTCCAGATCGGAGAAGCTTAGGAAATATGTGCGGTACATTAGCTATAATGGTAGAACCCTGCGTGCTAGTACGACATCGTGTCCTGACTTTGCGCAATGGAAGAACTACTTGGCTTGCAGTGGATTGCACATAAAGGAGAAAAAAAGGACCAAGTTTCTGCAGCAACTTAAAGAGACAGATCTGTGGGTCATGTATGAAAACTATAAACAGTAGCAACAGCACATGTCGAGGCGGGACTACGAGAAAAATATGCTTCGAGATGCTTTGCACAATTTCCCACGACTACTGGGCGTGGAAATCATCTTGCGGAGTTCCCGGGAAGGAATCTCATCTGGACAGACACCCGAACTGACCTCCTTAAGCCCCGTGGCGCAGAAGATTTTGGCCGAGCCTGAAGCCCGTAGCGAGCTGCCGCATCCGGAACGTCATTTCTGGACTCTGCTGCAGTCAGTCTGTCTCGCGGGCCATGCTAAGCGGTTGACGAGCCTTTGCGCTTTAGACATGGACCTGCAGCTATGGAATCATATGGCAGCCTCACTTGGCGACTACCTATTCGGGCTCTTGGATTCTCTTCATCGAGTATCTGAATAAGGAAATGATGCTGCATCGTGTGAAATTTGATGGCTGCCTTTCCAACTCTGGTGATGAGAAATGGGCAGTTCGTCATGAATCCTACGCCATGTATAGAGCATCAGCACTGACTGCTGATGACTGCTATGAATGGTTGGCAGATCGCATTGAGCGTTTTATCGTAAGCGGTGATAGATATGCCAATCCGTTCACCCCGCGGAGGCGACGAGACGACGGCAAACACATTGGCTATTACATTTTACCATGGGAATTTGATGAAGATAATTCATGGTTTTATCTGCTGTCCTGATAGGTTGCTGCTGGATGGTATAGCGGATTGATGTTGGAATGAAAGAGAGGTGGAGGCTGTGGCAGGTGTTCCATCCACGGCTTAAGAAATGGAGCTTCTTGCGTATTCACTATCGGTATATACACAGAGCTCACCCTCCGCGATGAGGTGAAACTAGCAAACGGTGTTTATTTGGCTGCCAGCTTGCTAGCTCCCAACCAGAGCATTGGAAGTAGTGTAGTTTTGTAGTTTTGTAGTTTTTGTAGTTTCAAATATAAAAAATTATATTAAATCTAATAAAATACTTATAGAATTATAAGTTTTACGGATAACTAGTATAAATTCTATACTATAAGCTTATATTAAAAAAAGTGGGTCCTTATATAGTATTATAAGCTTAAAACTTCAAAAACTACAAAATGTAGTTTTTATAGTGTAGTG